ATTGGTCAGCATACACTTAATAGCTCAGTATCTTGGCCATCAAAAGGAACTGAATTGGACATGCAAAGATAAAATTACAGTAGTTACGATTGCTGGGCCAAGCCCTCACAGCCGCTCCTCTGCCGCCACCCACCATCGCTACGTGAGCTTCACGTGCTGTTCGTAAAATCGGAGCATCTGACGTAGTTAGCATCCTCCTGGTGCGACTTCTGAAAGTCGTGGCTGGCTCACCATTTGGGGGCAGTGTTCGTACATGGCGGACGTACCATGTCTCGTCTTGGACCCGTTCTTCCAGGACACGTATACTACTAGGTTGCCACCGCCCTTGTCTTCGCAACCATCGATGGATGAAATTTCCTTCTCCCATGAACCTGCAGGACAAACCGATGTCACCGTTGAAGACATATGGGCCCGTTGTTGGGTTTTCGTCGGCGTCGAAGCTTCATTACGGGCTGATTCGCCTGAAACCTTGCGCCCTGCATCCTCCAAGTCCTGGACTAATCTATCGCGGCCACCAAGTCTGTCGAAGTACTGCCGTAAGAGAACACAGTTCCTGTAGTGGTAGGTTAGTCCATGGTTATTGTGTCGTGATGGCGTCATACTGTAAATGTTTCTCAGGCTCCCAGGTCATATCCGACTGCTTGTCAAAGCCCTTCCATTTGACGTGGAACATCAAAGAACCCTTGATATTGTCAGCAAGATTCAGATCGAAAGCTTAAGACATCTGGACGTGCATTGCCTGCGAATTCGTGATTCGTGATTGCTTCAACTATGTACCTTAAAACCAGTTAACTGCACGAATGATGGGGCACCCGACGGTCTTACTCATCCTTGGCAAGGGCCCGTGCGTTGCCTCTACCTGGTATACTGATTCTGTCAGACACGGCGAATTGGCTAACGTGGCCCAGCTTGCGTCGGGAGCGAGCTTTGGTGTGAGTTGACGAGGGCTGACGCTGGCCTTTCATCGACCTGGCCATTTTGGCTCTTGGGAGCTTCTCGCGGCCTTGACAGGTTACGCTGGCGAGGCCACCACTCAAACTATATAGCACGGGCGGACTTAGGCCTTAGGAGGCAATTGCACTCCCTTCCTTTCGAGACTGCTAAAGCGGTGCGTTTCTAGTGTCTTGCCATACTTACACTAGTGCCAGCTACGTTCTGCAGGCGGCCCCTGTGCGAGAAGCTCTCCATGCTATGGCGGATAGAACGATAATGCCCATGCAAGTGCGGTGGCGACTCTGCTGCTTTGCGACGCAGAGTGGAGGAGCATAATGCGGCGGAGTGGGGGTGAACGTAGAACGCTGATGCGGTTATGCAGCATCACACTATCCTGTGTCACATTTCAGCTTCCGGCCATGTGAAGTGCAACATGTCCTCGTCGTGGATCTAGCTGATGGCTCCAAGTGGCTGCATAGAGCAATGTTCGACTGTAACATAATAGCGATAAGACGAGAATCGCGCTGTTTGGGGGCGATGCAGCATCTGCAGCGAAGCTGCATCTGGCTCCATGGATAGCCTGTGGAAGCCAAGCAAAGATGGTGGTGGCAAGAAGATGGTGTCGCGAGAAGATGGTGTCGCGAGAAGATGGTGTCGCGAGAAGATGGTGTCGTGAGAAGATGGTGTCGTGAGAAGATGGTGTGGCAAGAAGATGGTGCGGCAAGAAGATGGTGTGGCAAGAAGATGGTGTCGTGAGAAGATGGTGTCGTGAGAAGATGGTGTGGCAAGAAGATGGTGTGGCAAGAAGATGGTGTCGTGAGAAGATGGTGTCGCGAGAAGATGGTGTCGTGAGAAGATGGTGTCGNGAGAAGATGGTGTCGTGAGAAGATGGTGTCGCGAGAAGATGGTGTCGTGAGAAGATGGTGTGGCAAGAAGATGGTGTCGTGAGAAGATGGTGTGGCAAGAAGATGGTGTCGCGAAGTGATGGCGTCGCGAGGTCTGATACCTGACAAGATGATCCAAAAAAGGCTCCAACCTCGTACCCTGTTCGCGCAATCGCCTCTCCTGGTTTCCAGTGTACTATACTGTGCTGTACGTACAGGACGGCATAGCGTGGACACCTCGACCCAAAGGGAGACACCGCTACTGTGACTTGCCATCATTGGAGCAACATGGACAAGCCAAGAAGAACAAACTTCTGTGAGGGTATCACCAGACGACTACTTGCTTTTTATGCAATGTCTCACTTTATGAATTTTGTACATAGTTTAAGTGAGAGTTCTCCTTGCGAGCCTCTCACTCTCTCCTTTTCTCTCTTTGTAAATAATCGTTTTACCCAAGTTGCACTCGACCTCGTTCGTGCCCTTGTCCCGTCACAACTTCTTCGGCAGCACTATGGCCGCGATGTCGATGCTACGCGCGGTGTAACGAACAAGTAACGGTCGACGCAGTGCTGTAATATTCTCACGCTTCACTGACTCTCCCACACTTCCCCGCCACGTATGTGTAGGCATACTCGCAGTCCCAAAGCCTCACTGGTCACACTGCTAATACAATACTCTCGGCTTCCATTCGGCTGGAAGGGCTTGGGGTCCAGGGTGCTAGCATCGGTGTTGTGGGGTGGTGGAAGCAGAATAATAGTTGCCAGATTCCTCAGAGCTTCTTTATTTAGCAGGTAGTTTAAGAATTAAGAAAATCAAAACCTCGTACAGCTGTTCCTCTATCGTAGAGCTAATGTACTCAGCCGCCAAAGAACTACAGCTACGAGAGTACAACTGAAACGCCAGGATACAGTAGTAATGCAGTACTCTCTTACACCTGCACATTCGACCATACTAAGCTCTCCCGAGACGTGACAGACGCGCCGCGCGTTGGATGGACAAAGGGAACGCCGTAAGCAACACAAGAGTACGTGTGTACAACAAACACTATGGTAGCCCAGAGGATCACCCCCGTAATAACTTCTTCGACCATGAAACCATCTCGATTTTGCCCATGTAAGCAGAAATGTTAAGTATTCGTTCAAAACTAGAGTGTGTGTCGGAAGAGTTGAACTGTACTAGCTGGATTGACATCCAACATTCGTTGCCACCAATTCTTAGAAGGGGCCTACTGCTCCTCAGGGCAAGCCTTTTCTGATGTTATCGTACTGCGAGTCTGGGTAATGCAGATAATTTTGAGACGAATCCAGGGAGCCCAATGACTGAAAGCTGGTGCCAACTAGGGAATCTGTTCCGTTCTTATCCGCAGAGGCTTCCCAGAACATGCTCCCACCTAAGGCCAACCGCTTGACATATGCAGCCTTGGTGCGCACAATCTCCGGAGTATCGTAGGAGACAAGCTCCTGCGTAGCCATATCGTAACTGAACGACGCGTTTGCAGTGTCGTCAGTTTGCACCGTGGCCCCGAGTTTGGGCAAGGCCTTGTAGTCCAAGGCCCCTGGCTCCCAGGTTCCGGAGCCCACTCCGGAAAATGATTGCCCTATACCAGTAGTTTTTGCAAACGAGCGCCCATACACCGGAATTCCGAGAACCATCTTCCCTGGTGGAATACTTCTGGTGTATGCTTTAATAGCGTCATATGTGTTGAATGGAGCGGCAGCAGGATGCTCACTGCTGGAAAAAAGGTTCGAGGCATGGCCGCTCACGCGACTCCAACTTCCGGAGTAATCATAAGACATCAAGTTGACATAGTCGACAATACTACCGATTTCTGCTAAGCGCAGCTTGTTGAAGTTTTCCGGGCCGGCTGGAGCGGCAATCGTTAGCAAAAAGTGGTGACCGTCGGCGTGCGCAGCGGCATAGGCGTCTAGTTCCCTCCGGAGTTCTTGGAGGAGCAGTATCATGTCTGCCGCTTGTGCCGCATCTGCCGGGTATTCCCAATCGACGTCAATCCCGTCAAAACCCCAATCCTTTAACAGTCCGACGGCACTCTTCGCAAAGGTGCTTCGGGCTGTGGGGGATCTTGCCACGGATGGAAAATTTGTTGACCACGTGTAGCCGCCGATTGACAGCAATACTTTCATATGGCGACTCTGTTTCTTTAACTTGAAAAGCTGCTTGACACAGCCATACGCGTTGTGTCCGGCATCGTTCCAACCTAGGCATGCGTTGAGGTTTATGTTCGAGCAAAGTTCGCCACGCGGAACTCACTATCGTCAGGATAATGCTTCTCTAGATCGGCGTAGGTATCTCCGGAAAATCTTGGAATAAGTCAGATTGATTTCAGCTCTTGTTCGTTTTTGCCTTACACCGTTCCATTAGCATTCAAGTTCAGAAACGCGTAGTAGACATGGGTTATCTTTGAGGCAGGAAGCGAAAGAGGTTGAAATTGCCGTTGGTAAATGCCCCTGAGCCTGTTAACCAACAAGACCAGTGCAACCTTCGACTGACCAACCAGTTTACAAAGTAGACCGCGTTAACATAACCGCCGCCATTGCGGATGTTGTTCATAGAAGCCGTCGCGAGGGAACTGAGTAGTGCGACTGGTAGCCATATACTTGCAAAGCTGGTCTGCATGTCTGCCGCTGAGGATTGAAGGGTATGTCGCGCTTGCTGTGGTCTTTGTTGGCCGACTATTTAACTTTGGACATATCCGTTACTATGATACTGTACTGTACCGTTTTTATCTGCGCGTACTGTCGTACAGTGGTAACATGCTGCCGGTTTACTGCTGCGGTGCTGGCACCAACACATAAGAGGCGGCATTTGGCTTAAGTTCTCCAACTCCTCCATCACTCATTTCGCACGGGATGATTTTCGTACATCCAGGTTTCATATTCTTACAAGGCGTCTGTAGATCACATTCAAAGATGTCGGCTCTTTACATCTTGACACTTGCACTCCTAGCGGATGCTTGTGATTGGAACTCTAGCATTGGGCTTTGGAAGGTAGCAGAAGGAGAGTGTCTCGATCTTGTGGCGGGTGCCTTAGGCCTACCAATTGGGGAACTTCTGGAACGAAATCCGACCCTTCAGTCGCCAAATGACGTGACAGCCGGGGAACTTTACACAGTGCCCAATCTTCCTGCTCAGTCCCCGGCAGCCTGGACTTCTTCGAGCGGTTGCACTCCCATTCTTGAGCTGCGAGGCTACTTGACGAAAAAGTCTTCAACTCCTCCTC